AATCCCAGCTACTCGGGAGGCTGAAGCCGGAGAATTGCTTGAACCCAGGAGGTAGAGGTTACAGTGAGCCAAGACCACACCATTGCATTCCAGCCTGGGTGACAAAGCAAGACCCCCCTCTCTACAAAACATAAAAAAGCTTAATCAGAACTACATAGAGGACTTAGTAGGACTGCATAGTGATGCGCACCTGCAGTCCTAGGTACTTGGGAGGCTTAGGTGGGAGGATCACCTGAGCCCAGGAGGCCAGGGCTGCAGTGAGCCGTGATCATGCCTCTTGCACTCCAGCCTGGTCTGAGAGCCAGCAGCCGCCTGTCCTGCTGTGTGACACGCCCTGGGTTTGCCTGGGGACTCTTAAATGGCAATGATATAACCTGGGCCCTCAAGATTCTCACCATTGACACTGGTAGTTGAGTGTAAAGCAAATAATGATAGGAGTGGTTTGGACAGTAACGAAGGTTTACAGCAATGGCATGGAGGCGCTGAGAACTAGAGTAACCCGTTGTCCTGGGGGAGGGTGTTTTTTTTTGTTTTTTGTTTTTTGTTTTGAGACAGTCTCACTCTCTTGCCTGGGCTGGAGTACAGTGGTGTGATCTTGACTCACTGCAACCTCTGCCTCCCGGGTTCAAGCGAGTCTCCTGTCTCAGCCTCCTGAGTAGCTGGGACTACAGGTATGTACCATCACACCCAGCTAATTTTTGTATTTTTAGTATAGATGGGGTTTCGCTATGTTGGCCATGCTGGTCTCAAGCTCCTGACCTCAGGTGATCCGCCTGCCTCGGCCTCCCAAAGTGCTGCGATTACAGGCGTGAGTCACCACACCGGGCCAGGAAGGTAGCTTTTTAAAGATGAGCCAGCCTGGTATAGTGACTCTCACCTATAATCCCAGCACTTTGGGAGGCCCAGGTGGGAGGATGACTTGAAGCCAGCATGGGCAACAAAATGAGACCCCTGTCTCTATAAAAAATTTAAAAATCAGCCGGGTATGGTGGCACACACCGGTAGTCCCAGCTATTTGGGAAACTGAGGCAGTTCGAGGCTGCAGTGAGCCGTGATTGTGCCACTGCACTCCAGTTTGGCAGCAGAGAAAGACCCTGTCTCAAAAGAAAAATAAATAAGTAAAAATAAAAGTGAGCTGGGAGGCCAGGCGTAATGGCTCACACCTGCAATCCCAACACTTTGGGAGGCCAAGGTAGGAGGATCACTTGAGCTTGGGAGTTCAAGACCAGCCTGGGCAACATAGTGAGACCCCCACTCTTTAAAAATATATATATTAATTTTGAAAAATGAGCTGGGAAGTGAAGGAGAGGACACTGTGCCCTGCAGAGGGAACAGCCAAAACAGAGGCCTGTAGCATATTGGCAAGAAGCTGGAGTGAGCGGGAAGGGAGGGTGGCGACTGAGGCTGGAGAACCACCTAGGTCCGATCGTGAAGGGCCTTGCCAATATGACGGTTGCACTGTCATGACAACTTGAGGCCTGGCCCTGACACTTATTAACAGCACGCCTGACTGTGAGCATCATCGCGTGACGTCTGAGCCTCAGTGGGTGGTGACCACTGACAGGGAGGATCAGAGAGGTGAGCATCTTGATTGCGGGACAGTGCAGGCCTTGCACCTTGAGAGCCAGAGGCAGCTACAACTTGGGAGTCATTGATAATTGAGTGGTGACAGGCCCGGTCGCGGTTGGAGTTTGTGGGACAGAAGCTGATTTGGCCCGGGATTGATGATGCAGACTTGGAGAAGGTCAAGCAAAGGGCCTCCAGAGAGTGGGGTGGGGGCCCGGAAACACCATGAAACTGCTTGGGGGTGCAGGCTGTTGGTTTCTCCCTTGTTACTCGTTGACCAAGAA